TGGTTCAATTGAGACCTGGAGATCAGTGGGCATGTATGTGAGAACCAGACCCGACTGGTGGAAAATCCAATTCACGGAAGGAGGACATCAGCCCGATCATGGAATCGAAGCATTACCACACTATCCCGGTGTTTGGGCTACTCTTTCAACGGCCCGGAGTGAAGTGTGAGTGACTGATGGTCGTCATTACCCAACTACTCCCCAACCCCCAATCAATCAACTCAATCAACGCCCTTCGAACCCAAACATTGATCTGATAGACAGAGATAACAATCCGGACGGTTGTTTGTGTATAACCCACCCGAGTGATATCCACGAAGAGAAATGCCAGCGGTTTCAGAAAAGGTAGAATTGCCAGGACTTGTGTTTGCATATTCAGTTAAAACAAATTTGCTCACATGGATCATATACTTTGTTACGATGGGAACAATCCAGAACTGTTCGGGATGCCAGAAATTACGGGTATTATTGGGAAAAGCGAAAGTTTTATTCCGGTTTCACTTTCCGCATAGGAAAAGGCCTCATTAAAAAAATACGTGCTCCGGAATCGGTCTTTTTCCGCCACAATGACTCGTGAGTGCAGATAAAAAAAGGTTTCAAATTTTCAATCATCAGAGCTGCAGATACAAAACAGGTTTCAACGTTCAAATACGCTGAGGGCATTGATTATAAAACTACGATGACCAAGAAGAGAAACCCTGTCATGTGCGTACGCACACCCCTCCCCCCTCCCGCACACACAGCTCACGGCTGGCAAACAAGCCCCATGCACACCGCCTCACTAAATGAACGCGGACAGACACACAGATGAGACAGCGCGTGCTTTGTTCTTCCTATCCTTGTAGTCCAAGTCGGTTGTCTTGCCTGATCCGTTGTGTCACGTGAGCTCGGTCAATACAGTTGTCGGACTACTGTGGTCTCGACACTTCTACTCAAGTAGCAAGGGAAATAGCAAAAACTGTGTGCATTGCATCCATTATGATCGGCGACGGGATTTTCCTCACGATGCCGTAGGTGCATGTAGTTGCGTGATAATTATGTACATGCCCTTATAAATAGAACCACCTATGCGAGAAACCATGGTACTGAAAACGAGAGAAACGTTTTTTTAAACTAGTTTCACATGATACATATATTGTGAACTCCGAACCACAATTCTACGGTTTCCTTTATTCACCGTCCGTCTGATATGTGCACACTTTTCTGTTGGAAAACACGTGTCCCAGAGACACACTGTTGATGCCCATTGAATTCGCGTATTTTTCCCCACTAAGCAGAGCTTACATGAATACTGGGTTCACCAATAAACCCCTTTCACTATTCCAGGAATGTGTATTTTCTCAGCGGTTCCAATGTTAAGCCACTGTACTGGAGCAGTGAATAGAAAATTCCTTCATCTGTTCATAACTAAAATAGAGATAAAACAATCATCATTCAGTGTTCACAAAGAATCACGAATAGCAAATCGGGTTGGACCGATCACCTGGGTGAGGAGCCTGCTCCTAAGCTGAACAAGGATTGTTGTATCGAACACCTCTTGATCTATTTTCGTGCTGTTTGGCAGCACCCTAGGCGGCGAATATCCTTTCTCGCAATCAGTATAGATATATGTGTTCACAAGCCATAGATCGAAGTAACCCAGGCAACACAGCGCTTATTGGTAATTCCCCGTTAAATACGAATCACCATTTCCGTGAGCTAAACTGCTAACAGGT